CCCATCCCACTTTCCTCTCCCGCTCTCCCACTCTCCTTCGCCCGCACCGCGCTCCGCCCCGCCGCCGCCCGCCGACTGCCTCGCCTAGTCATTCAGAAGTCCAGCCGCGGCGGGCGGCACGCAGTATCCGGCCAGCCGCGGTGGCGCCCGGTCCCCCGCGACGCTCGCGACGCCAGCTCTGCCCGCCCGCTGCACTCCAGTGCACAACTGTACCGCGTCGCCGCGAGCGAGCGTAGGCGCGCCGCCTCACTACCCCAGTCAGTTGGACGGCCGCAGCCGGCCGTGTCAGTGACCCCTCCCCCTCCCCATCAGCCGCCTCACCGGCCCGGATTAAGGCCGGCGTCCACACTGCGAATAGAAATACAAGAAACTCGGCCCGTTAACTGCCCTATTCATACATAAACTGCATAGGGACGCCCCATGCGGTCGACCATCTGTCTGTGAAACGACTTCGGAGTGAAAGGCTCAGTGGTTTGTGCGTCCGCAGTCCCGTGCTGCCATCGTCGGTAACGACCATCAACCAGGGTCACAGGCAGATTGCTCATCGTCGCCGCATCGGAGAGCAATCTGGACTCCAGAAGAGGGCGACTGCAGAGGAGCTCGCGTACGCTAAGGCGCTGCGCAACGCGGTGTGCCGTGCCCCTCTCGCCCGACATTTTGAAAGAGGCCTGTGGCTCCCATTGAGCTCACCGGGCCAAGTAGAAGAAGCCCCCCTCCACGCGCAGGAGCCCGCGAACTTTTGTGACTGTCGGTCCCGCGCCCTGGGCCTTCGCCACCTTTTGGAGTACGTGACGGGAGGAGTGGTCCGCGGAGGATGGAAGACCGAGATTACTGACCGTGCCCTGATAGCATAGGCTTCAAGGATCCAGAGGGTTGGTTTCCTCACTGGTAAATAAATGTCCTTTATTTAAATGTGCGCGACGAAGTACATTTTTAGCCCGCCCTTCTGCTTTGAAGAAGCTATCCAGCGGGCCTATGCAAACGACCTCGTGTGTGTCTGTCTGTTCCACTAGAAGGAGATGTGCTAGAGACTTGAAATTTTCAGGGTATCTTAAGGGGGGGGGAGGGTAAAGTGAGAAAAATAAAATAATTGGATTTCATGGCCAAACAAACTAAAATGGTGAAAATGAACTGTTTTCAATACATGGAGGGTGTATTCTGATGCAAAATATTGTTTTGATTCGATTAGTGCTAAAATAAGTTACAATAAGTCATGGGAAAACCTAGTTATTAGCCACAAACCACTTGAAAAAAGACTTACCAGAATTCGAGGTTGCGCGCACCATTTCTCCTAAACCTGATGTCTTAAAATTTCCCCGTACAGTTATTTAGAATCAGAAAACATAAAACTATAAGTTATAAGGGCACTTTTT